TATTATTAGCCTGATCGTCACAAGAAACATTCTTGCTCCTATCTCAGGGATTGGAGCTTTGTCGACCGCTGACTACGCAGTGCCTGAACTCAGTGGGTAGACAGTGGGTAGACTTCTTCTGAAGAAGGGTCCCGACCCGAAACGTCAGCTTTCCTGCTCCTCTGATGCTACCTGGCCTGCTGTGTTCCTCCAGCTCCACACTGTGTTGTCACAAATTCAGTCCAGTTACTTACAGCCCCCTCCGTATACTGTTGATCATCAATACAGTGATGGACGTTTTCATCAACAGTGCTACCAAGCAGCACCTGTTGAGCAATAACCTGCTCAGTGATGCCCAGTTTGGGTTCCGCCAGGGCCACTCAGCTTCTGACCTCATTACAGCCTTGATTCAAACATGGACAAAAGAGCTGAATTCCAGAGGTGAGATGGGAGTAACACCCCTTGACATCAAGGCTGTGTTCGACCGAATGTGGCATCAAGGAGCTCTAGCACAACTGAAATCAATGGGTATCAAGGGGCTAACTCTGTTGGTTTGAGTCATACCTGGCACATTGGAAAATGGTTCTGGTTGTTGGAGGTCAGTTACCTCTGCTCCAGGATATCTTTGCAGGAGTTCTTCAGGGTCGTGTCCTAGGCCTAACCATCTTCAGCTGCTTCATCAATGACCTTCCCTCCATCAAAATGTGAGAAGCGAGATGTTCACTGATGATTGCACAATATTCTGTATCACTCATGACTTCTCATATACTGAAACAGTCCATGTTCAAATGGTAAAAGATCTGGAAAATATCCAGGCTTGGCCTAACAACTGGCAGGTAACATTCATGCACACAAATGCCAGGCTATGACCATGATAAATAAGAGACAATCTAACCACTAGCCCTTGACATTCAACGGTGTTACCATCACTGGATCCCCCACTATCAATGTCCTTGAGGTACCATTGACCAGAAACTCAACTGGAGACTTGTCATATAAACACAATGGCTAGAAGAGCAAGTCGGAGGCTAAGGACAGCATACTGAGGACAAGTAACACACTTCCTGACTCCCCAAAGTCAACCCACCATCTAGAAGGCATAAGTCTGGAGTGTGATTGAATACTGCCCGCTTGCCTGGATGGGTGCAGCTCCAATAACACTCAAGAAGCTCGATGCCATCCAGGACAAAGTAGCCCACTCTATTGGCACCGCATCCACAAATGTCCTTCCACCACCGACACTCAATAACAGCTGTGTGCACTATCTACAAGATGCACTGCAGAAATTCACTAAAGATCCTCAGATAGCACCTTCCAAACCTATGATCATTTCCATCTAGAAGGACAAGGGCAGCAGGTACATGGGAAGACCACGATCTGCAAATTCCCCTCCAAGCCACTCGCCATCCTGACTTTGAACTATATCAACCTTCCTTCTCAGTTACTGAATCAAAATCCTGGATCCCGTCCTTATTGCCATTGTAGGTCTACCCACAACAGGTGGACTGCAATAGTTCAAGAAGACAACTTGCCACCACCTTCTCAAGGGCAACTAGGGGCGGGTAATAAATGCTGGCCAGACAGCAATGACCACAATCCCACAAAGGAATAGAAAAAAAGAATGCACAGAACTTACTAAAGTTGGTAGTAGAAGCAGTACAATTAATCTCTGTTCCCCTAAACTGAGGGTAAAATAACCCAGTTCCCATGCTTGATCGTTAAAAGTTAAATTTTATTTGGTAGTGTGTTTGTATGAATGTCATATAAGGTTTGGTTTATGATATCTTCTTTGTTATCTCGGCTCAAACATGAAGGATGGCTATTTGGTATGGTATTGCTATCCAAGTGCATGTGAATGCATGAACGTGTGGAGTGGAAGAAAAAATGTATGTTGTAGAAGATGCTTAATTACAGTTATAATTTTATGCACAAGTTGAATGTAAAAATGGATATTATGGTTGAAAATATAACTTCACTTACATTTATAAATATATGACCATCAGTATTCAAAATGTAAACGCTTTTCTCTTTAGGGCTTGCATTTTATAAGGTCACAGAAATTTGCACAGTCGTTATAGTATGCTATTGTCAATATATATATTGCTACAGTATATTTATCACAATTTTTTTTCTAATTCTGTTTTCTGTAGATTTGTAACCCGAGAAACAAATATATCAGATCAAAAATTTTCCGGTGAACTTTGTGTTCAAGGTGTTGGACTTGATCGAATAGGTATGACTATTATAAAATGTTATAGATTATACTTGTGTAAAGACTGTGTCAAAGGAACAATTTTTAAAAAGTCCTTTTAAAATTAAAAATTAAAATGTAATGAAGAATTTTTGTATTAGATACAACTATTTATCTTTTGAGCAATAAATATATGAATAATGACAAACAGTAGAAAATAATGTTTTCCACTATGATCGTGGGCTGCAATACTCGTTGGTATTGTTTGTGTTAAAGTGGCATCCATGATGTGCATGTACACTTTGGTGCCATCTACAACTGATGTTTTGGTGAGAGGCCATTGAAAACATTATAGTGTAGTCATTGGGAGTATGCACCATACACAGGAAGTGCAGGAAGATTGTGATGCCAATCAGTTATAATACCAATTTGACACCAGTACTACTATATGGATCTCGCTACTCCAGTTAACACTGTGAAACACATTGAGCAGAACGTGCGTTCTAAAGTTAGCTGCAGGCTCTGTCTGAGCTGACAGAACTGTAGTGAGTTCGCCTGCTGTGTCAAGTTGGTGAAGGTCTTTGTTCTGACGTCAGAGATTCTGGTCAGGCCATTCGTTTACAGTCTGGAATGTTGTAGTTACTATAACTTTTGGTCTGTAGCATGGGAGCAAGCGTAATAGGGGGAGCACAAAAGAAGACAATTATCAAAGGGGGAAGAGGAGGTGACGGAGAAGATAGGCTCTGAGTAGAAAATTCTATCCATGCAGGGAGTATTTCTCTTACCTCAACCTAATTCTGGAACAGTGTGCACGTCGATTATTTTTCCTGCAACAGCTGCTCTTAGAAATCTCAGAGGAACCACTGAACAAGTAATCCAGAGGTTCAGGCTAATGTCCTGAGGACGTGGGTTTGAATCATACAGTGGCAGATGGTGAAATTTGAATTTAGCAAAATAAAGCTGGAGTTAAAACCTAGTCAAATGACGATCATGTAATCATTGTGAATCAGTGTAATAATCTTCAGGGAAGGAAATCTACCGTCCTTACCCGGCCTGGCTTACATGTGACCTCAGACCCACAACAATGTTGTTGACTCTTAACTGTCCTCTGAAGAGGCCTAGCAAGCCACTCAATTTAGGGGCAATTAATGACGGGCAATAATGCTGTTTTTGTCAGCGACTTCCACATTCCATCCAAGAATTAAGAAAAGCAGACCTGCAGTTGCTGAGGAATGTTGTTGGTAGCTATGAAAGTAATCATTGGGATGGATTTCTTTGTATTGGTATCCTTTTAGGTTGGAATATGCAACAAATCATCCCAGTTTGCTGTCCATTGCTGCATAAGATGTTTTATCTGCTCAGATAAAATAAGCAGGTAGAATCTGTATATAGTTTCATCAGTTTAGTAAGCCTTCTTAGAATGCAAGGTGGCATCAGCTGTACACTCTTGGCTTTGCAGACATCATATGTAAATCCAGATATTCAAACAACTGCAAAGAGTTTTAGCTGCTGAATATTTAGATCATATGTATCCATGCTCAGCAAATCATGAAGGTATGTTCGATACTCTGACAGTGGTGATAGTATCTTTGTTCTGTTATCTCCAGACTTGAGCCACTAGGCAAACCAGAAAGTTGTCTGTGGAAAACCAGGTCTATTTGCTTTCCACTTGGCCCATACTTTGACTGTGTGTGTTTGGATTATGCACCATGTATACAATGTGAACCATGCTACCATGAAAAACACCATCAAGCAGACTATTGGAAAGCTCAAGTACCTGTTCCATTGCACAGACCACTCAAGCGAAACTCTGCAGTACTTGCTGTAGAAAGAATTGCTGCACTATTTAAAAGCTGACAGTCATTGCAAATGCAGTTTACAAAGCTATTTGTTCAAGTAGTGGGTAGGTGGGAGGTTACAACAGACTAGTTGGAACCTGGGAGATTTAGTGGGCAACTTCCAGCTGATTGGTCTGTGAAGTATTGAGCTATTGTCAATGACAAATGCTTTCTACCTACCAACAGCTCTGTTACTGGCTGTCGGGCAACTGAACAGGTTGTGGATGTGGATGACAAGGTGTAGAGCTGGATGAACACAGCAAGCCAAGCAGCATCAGAGGAGCAGGAAGGCTGACATTTTGGGCCTAGACCCTCCTTCAGAAATGGGGGAGGGGAAGGCGGTTCTGAAATAAATAGAGAGAGAGGGGGAGGTGGATAGAAGATGGATAGAGGAGAAGATAGGTGGCGAGGAGACAGACAATTCAAAGAGGCGGGAATGGAGCCAGGAAAGGTGAGTGTAGGTGGGGAGTTAGGGAGGAGATAGGTCAGTCCAGGGAGGACGGACAGGTCACGGGAGCGGGATGAGGTTAGTAGGTAGGAGATGGGGGTGGGGCTTGAGGTGGGAGGAGGGGATAGGTGGGAGGAAGGACAGGTTAGGGAGGCGGGGACGAGCTGGGCTGGTTTTGGGATGCGGTAGGGGGAGGGGAGATTTTGAAGCTTTTAAAGTCCACATTGATACCATTGGGCTGCAGGGTTCCCAAGCGGAATGAGTTGCTGTTCCTGCAACCTTCGGGTAGCATCGTTGTGGCACTGCAGGAGGCCCAGGATGGACATGTCGTCTGAGGAATGGGAGGGGGAGTTGAAATGGTTCGCGACTGGGAGGTGCAGTTATTTAGTGCGAACCAAGCGTAGGTGTTCTGCAAAGCGGTCCCCAAGCCTCTGCTTGGTTTCCCCGATGTAGAGGAGGCCACAACAGGAACAGCAGATGCAGTATACCACATTAGCAGATGTGCAGGTGAACATCTGCTTGATGTGGATGAGGTGGGAGGTGTAGGGGCAGGTGTAGCACTTCCTGTGGTTGCAGGGAAAAGTGCCGGGTGTGGTGGGGCTGGAGGGGAATGTGGAGCGGACAAGGCAGTCATGGAGAGAGTGGTCCCTCCGGAAAGCAGATAAGGGTGGGGAGGGAAATATGTCTTTGGTGGTGGGGTCGGATTGCAGATGGCGGAAGTATCAGAGGATGATGCGTTGGATCCGGAGGTTGGTGGGGTGGTACGTGAGGACGAGGGGGATTCTGTTTTGGTTGTTATTGCGGGGAGGGGGTGTGAGGGATGAGTTGCGGGAAATGCGGGAGACACGGTCGAGGGTGTTCTCGACCACTGAGGCGGGAAGTTGCGGTCCTTGAAAAACGAGGAAATCTGAGATGTTCAGGAGTGGAATGCCTCATCCTGGGTGCAGATGCGGCGGAGGAGGAGGAATTGGGAATAGGGGATGGCATTTTTGCAGGAAGGTGGGTGG